GGAGGGAGAGAGACGGCTCTGTTTCGTTGCACGTGTGAGATCTTCTGCAGACATTGCAGTGCAGTCTGTGACCTAGGGTACGTAAACATGTGATTCACAAAACTCATAACAGTTCCACTGAGTGAGTCTGCCAGGTTGTGTCCTATGATGTGTTGCGCATTTTGGGGGTTGCTTGGTGTTGCTCCTCCATCTTCTGGCATTATAGAACATGAAGAGTTTCTGTTTTCGATAACGAAATTCGATAACTACTTTTCAAGTGGGTTGTTGGCGGCGGGTGCTGTGATGTAGTTTGCTCCTTCTTTCCTATCAAACATCTGCCGTCCTTATCTCCCCTCCCTAATCTTCGGCACTTATTTGATCTTATTGTGTTGGAAGTGCCGTAATATTCTTAATAATACAAATAAAACAAAGTTCCAGGAGCGTCAGACATACTCAAATGTGCATTTAATGCTGATGTGCTGTTCCACGTCGTGCCTGGCCAGTCGTTGACCTACACGTATTTCAAGTGAGCTGAATTTATTATACTTCACTTATGTAAAGTTTTCATCAGCTCTTTTCTGTACTCCAATGTTAGTCAAAGCCTGTCGTTATCAAAATGATGCTATCTCACAGAAGTACGTTGGCCTCTTCTTATCCCGTACTCACGGAAGTTGACCAGCCACGTTTGTTTACGAATAGCACTCGTTTACTCTGTGGCCAGCTAACTGGCTCACTCATTCACTCTCTCTCACCTGTTTGCGTACCCACGACCTGCCTATTTGTTGACTTCTGTTGGCAAGGGGTTTACATAAAGCTTCAACCAGATCTGCCACTGATGTGTAGCTTGGGAAAGTCTGATCCACCCTAGATCTCTTATAATTCTATATTCTGTTTTTCTCCGTTTCCCATAGTGTTTCTCTTTTCTATTTGCTGTCTTCAGTTGTCCCTATGCTGTTTTGGACTGTGGCGTGTGTTACATACCCAAGACAAGCGCACTACCTCTATCGTCTTTGCACGAAAGATGCATTCTTGAAGGATGGTTACGACGGACCAGTTGTCCGTGTGCTTTGGTTTTGTTTTTTCTTTTTTTGATGAAGTGATTGCTCTAGTGCATGGCTTGGTTGCTATGAAGACAAACTGCAGAACACAGAATTCAGATGGCTTATTATCTCCTCATCTAGCTGATGATAATAAGACCCCCGAAACTACTGCGAAGACTATGTATTAATAAGACTTGTTTTCAGGATGCAAATTTTTTCGCGGATACGTTTCCTATACTTAACGGTCTGTGGCCAGTATTTGAGGTTTGAATCAGAGTGACGACCTTGTCTTTGACTGCCCAGAAATAATTCCTACGGGTACGGTTGTGTCATCTCAGAGGACTGAGGGTGTCGCCTTTGGTTGGGTGG